GGCCATGCTAGTTAAAGTCTGAGTTCATACTCAGACCAGTCCACACAAAATTGTAAGATGCCAATTTAACTTATTTAGCTGAATGTTGTTTAACTTTTATTATTAATTAGTGGCAAATCTACAGTTATGGCCAAAAGTTTTGGCAGTGACAGTGATCAGATGCATTTTAAATAATTGCTAAAAGCTTCATTGGCCAAAAAATGAACTTTTCACAAAAAAAAACAATTTTCACTGTTTTTTGATCCTGACACAAAATGATCAGCTAACATTAATTGACTAATCATATCAGCAGCACATGTGAAAGTGTGAATGAGTACTAGTCAGGGGAAATCACTATCAAATGGATCACCATCAGTCAGGATTTGCCCCAGAAGCTAATATCCAGCATGCCAGAGCGAATTGCAGAGGTTATGAAGAACAAGGGTCAACACTGAAAATATTGACTCGTTATATTTTTGCCAATAAAAGCCTTTAAAACGTATGACATGCTTATCATTGTTTTTCAGTATACCATAGAAACATGTGGAAAAATAATCTACAAATACTGTAGCAGCAAACTTTGCAAAACACAAAATTTATGTCACTGCCAAAACTTTTGGCATGACTGTACTCATACCTATTTAGAATGACCTAAAATGGCCACTAGGGGAGCTATGACCAAACAAATCTATTCTCCCTTAAAATGGACATGGCATTTGGTGTACTCTGTAATTTCTCCTTGCTGCTGTATTTAATATTTTTTTTCACTTACTTCACAGAATTGTTCCAAAGCCTCAACAATAGCTCAGGCTCTGTGCATCTCTCACTCGGAGTTCATCATGGCAGTCAAAGCATTTTGCAGCTCTCTGCAATCAGTGGCTCTTTCCTTGGAGCATGATGGACAGGACTGTCTCATTGACCTGACATATGCTCATCGCTGGGTCCCAGATATATACTCCAAAACCTGTAGCTGTGGCCTTGTGGAGGACAGATCCAACCTGGAGAAGACCCCTCTAAATACAGCTTACCACACTTTCTCTCCTGTTTCCCTGGAAAACACTGACAGTCATCCCAAAATATTAGATTCATTTTCTGCCAAACTCAATGCTTTGAATGTGGCGGTCGAGATGGCTAATTTTGTTCTTGATGTAAAATATATAATTAAGGATATCAATTGAATTTTGATGAATGAAGAGCTGTGCTTTTAATAAAGGTTGTAGGTTTGATGTATTTTATCATCAAATGTTGTTCTAAGACTTTTTCTTTAACAGAACTGAATGTGGCAACAGTCATGTTAAATATTCCTTACATTAAACCACCAAAACCAAAATATGAGGAACATGAGGAAGAGACCGTCTCATTTCTTATATGATGCTGCAAGAGTCACAATTACCTGAACTCTTTGCAAATATGCAAGCAGCTAAATCTGCTATCATAGGACAGATTTTAAATTAAGCAAAATAAAGTTTAATGGATACTAAAAATGGTTTATTGTAGGTAAATTTTTTCAGTTCACCCGTATTTGACAGGTATGACAAAAGGTTAATTTTGGACCCTGCCTGAGTCATCTTCATTGTGTCATGTGCCTTTGAGAAAGGCACTTATCTCCAGGTAGCTCCAAGGCAATTAGTGCACTATAAGGTGCAAATGTTAGAGGGTACTTTTTTTTTTTTAATACTTGTCGCATTTTTATTGGCTGGTCAGTAAACGTGGATCGTAGCAACAAACATACTGTGCGATGATCATGCTGAATTTCTGACACTACTGTCAGAAAATGATCGTAAGCTATCTTTGGTCGCAAGACCGTGACAACGGTTGTCTTTGAACCTCTCTCACTGTACGACATAGGACCACCGTTTAGGAGCCACGATCACAGAAATAGCAAAGATTGTTTCACGATGTCAATCTTTCGTCTGGGACAGCTGAAAATCTTGCAGTGTGTCTCGGGCGGTTAAGGCTAGATGGCATACAGCAAAAACCAATAAGGCGTAATTTTTCTCATACTGTACAACAATTATTACTATTTTTGCATTATTGTAAGGGGTAGGTTTAGGGTTGGGGTAGGTGTAGACGTTAAAGTGCCCCTATTATGGGTTATGAAAGGTTCATATTTTGGTTTTGGGAGTCCCCAACAACAGGTTGACATGCATGTAAGGTCAAAAAACACATTCATTGTCTTATAATATGCATTTATTTTGACCTTACTTGCTCAATGACTCCCAAACGATTCGTTTAACGATTCATTTTTCCAAACCCCTCCTTTGCGTAACGCTAATCGGCGGTGATTGGTCCGATTGGTTTCATTTTCATTTCATCTTGCCTGTAATGCCTGATAAAGCAGCGTTTGTGAGCACAGTGCTGCTTTGTTTACAGCCGTTACCGGGGAAACAGCTATTTTACCAGCGGCGCCTAGTGGCAAAGAATGAATTTGCATTTTCATTCAGTCCAAAGCGAAAAGACCAAAAAGTGGGCGGGCAATATGCTAATGCAGTGTTTCTCAACCCTGGTCCTGGGCGCCCCCCAACCCTGCACATTTTGTGTGCCTCCCTAATCAAACACACCTGATTCAACTCATTACCTAATTAGAAGAAACTCGAGGACCTGAAATGGGTGTGTCAGATAAGGGAGACATACAAAATGAGCAGTGTTGGGGGGCGCCCAGGACCAGGGTTGAGAAACACCGAGCTAATGTTTCATTTTGACGTCAACATGAAACAGCTTGGGATTCGTTTTAAAAACGACTCGTTTCAATGATTCAGAGTCGGCTCTTTCTTTTGAGAGACAATAACTTTATTATTTATACACATAATCTATACATATTTATATCCCAGCTAACAATTTTTGGTTCCCAGAACGTTCTGGGAACGTAAATTTTTGGTTCCCGGAACGTTCCTAAGAACGTTCCCTGTTGGTTAGCCAGGAAAGTTTTCTTAACGTAAATAGAACGTTCCCTTTAGGTTAGGGGAACGTTCCCAGAACGTTCTCCTAGCCTCTTTACTCCGATACCGCTGCTGTACGTCAGTAATCATCCAGCACCCCCGCATCTCGTAGAGTAAGCGGCATGGAAGACGGACGGATATGGACCTCAATAATCAATACTACAAACCATGTCTTGTTTTAAACTATTGTTAAATCATTAAAGATAATCAGAGCACATTTAACCATCATAAGGAGCATTAAATGAGATTGAATTATCCGTTCTTTATTATAACTACCATGTACAATATAATAACCCAGATTTTACGCCTCTTAAGCATCAAATAACAATGACTTCAACAAAATATTTGGTTTTAAAAATTTAAATTTTATTTTTCCAGACATTAAAAATAAATAACATTTATTTGACTTTAAGTAGGATAACATTACATTCATTTCTTACCACTGAATTAACGATGATGTGCTTCTCTCTTTTGGTCAGTAAAAAAAGAAAGAAGAAAAAAAAACTCGTTTAACATGTTCTCTTCAGTTAGACGTGTCAAATCTCTCAATATTTACTCTTGTATATATTAATTATAAGTATTTATTCAATAAAGAGATCAATAAACGAATGCTAGTCAGTCAGTAAAACGAAATTATGCGTGTGCGTGCGGCTTTATGTGGAAGACCGAAGAAAAGCGCGTGCTGGAGAAGCGCGTGCAGATCAGAGGCGCGTTCTGGAAACGTTCCCTTTAGGTTATAAAAATAAAATTAAAAATAACCTACAGGGAACGTTCTGGGAAGGTTCTCTTTAGGTTATAAAATTAAACCTAAAAATAACCTGCAGGGAACGTTCTAGGAACGTTCCCTTTAGGTTATTAAAAAAATAACTTACAGGGAACGTTCCCAGAACGTTCTTATTTGGTTCCCAAAAAATAACCAAATGGGAACGTTAGGGGAACGTTCTGTGTTTGTTGGGATGTTTTCATTCACTTAGAGTTGTGTTAAACACTGCAGGAAAGGTAATTTTCAAAAATCCATAATAGGGGCACTTTAATAAAACACAATCTAATAGGTAGAAAATTAAATTTAATGTTAGCTTCCGGTTTTTGCTGTATCCTTTCTAGCCACAACCGTCTCGGGCTTTATGATGGATTCAGTCCGATTCTTGACTCAGACAAGTTTTATGAACCGGTCCAACTGATTCAAATCAAAAGAACGATCCGTTCACAAATCGGACAACTCTCGTATGTAGATAGTAGCCTAAAACAAAACGGTTTTTATCATCATAGGTAATTTAGGAGTTTGTCACAAATGTGTCCACAATGGAGGGCTAAGGAGTGAGGTTTGTCTTTGCACACTGTATGAATTCCTTCAAATGTTTTAGCCTTTTATGATGCCATAGACGGCAACGGTATAGCTCTTTCTGCTTGTCTACAGCTTTTCATAGTACACTTTCTGATGGCACTGGCTTTTTTTCCACAAATTACGCTTCTACAGAGAGTCTACTGACACAGTTTTATTCCTTATGAAATACAGCTGATAATCATAATAGTCAATGAACTATGTTCAGTTATGCATGTGATGGAATAAGAATCAGATAAGTGATATCTTTTTCTTCCTATTCTTCTTCCCTTGGTTAAAAAGATCTTAAAACAACTTTTAAGATTAAAATAAAAAAAACATTATTTCACTATTCTATTTATTGTAAATATTTTTTTACTTTAAATATGAAGTGAAATACTGGATTGTTAGCATCACCAAAATTTAATAGCAAATTTATGATTAGGCTATTTTTCAGGTTTACCAAACACACTGTCCATCACTGTCCAACAAACGGATAATCCCAACCCCAAACTCAGTCAACCCTGTTGTGACAAATAGTTAAGATGCTCATGTTGTAATAGTCACCACATAGTCACATTGTTTACACTTTTTGGACAAATCAGCCTACTTACAGTTTTCTCTGCATATTAAGCTGCAATAGGAGAAAGTATTTTAAAAATTGCACACAGTTACACACAAATATACTAACAACTGCAATAACACTGTACAAATGATATGATTTCTTTCCTTCTGTCAGAACAAAACTCCATTTATTTGTAATGGCTCTTCAGAAGATGAAGGGTATGAGAGATCTTCTTGATCTGGGGAAATCTTTGAACTTCTCATTATAGAACCTGGAACACATTAGAGAAACCACATGTATTTTTCAGTGCGTTGCATCACTGCGTTGTACTCTCAAAACCAGGTTTATTGAATCAATGATATACCAGATGAAAATTTCTGTCATTTTTAAATGTATAAGTAATATTAATTTTACAAGGTAAAGTTTACCTGTGATGGTGATAGGCTCTTGGGCCTATGAAGCAAATTGTAAAAAAAGCGAAAGCAAATGTGGGTAAAGACCAGGTAGCAACAGCGTAGCCCAGCCACTCTACAATCTCCCCAAAGAAATTTGCTCCAGACACATACTCAAACAAACCGCCTGCAGTTAAAACAAACACATAAATCAGCTTAGCATTTATTCAGTGCAGCTAATTGCAGTTTGCTTACGGAGACTGAGATAAAGACAATAAATGATGAGTGTTGCTAACATTAAAAAGACCCTGAAATATTTGTACCTCTCGGGATTTTATAGGAAATTTCTCCAGGTTTTCTCAGGCTGCGGAGAATGTGGTCACTGTGAATATTTATTCCCATTCCTATGAAAAATATGATCAGACCTAGAAAAATAAAGATACATATATAAAAAAGTGATTAAATAAACATGTAACTTATTATAAACATTATCCAGCAAAATTTGCTCTAACAATAAGCTCTAATACTTTATTCATTTTTAAGAACTGTTCTCTGCAAGGTTCTTAAAGAAACCACAAATGGTTCTTCTATGACATTGCTGCTAAAACCCACTTTTGGAACCTTTATTTAAGTGCAGTTATTTTGGGATTTACATAATATTTTTTTAATTAAATACATTCTAAAATATAATAGCAAGGTTGAGCAAAATTCTAAATTTAAAAATTATCTCCTTTTCAATTCACATGTTGGAATTTGAAATGAACTGGTCAACAAATTTTAAGAATTTCAGTAGCCCAACAAAAGCTTTGTAACAAATAAATCATTTTATTAATAATTACATTACTTTTCAGTATTTAAGCAGCATATTTATTCCCTATATAATACATTTGATCCTAGATTGATTCAATATATTTCTCTTTGATGGTAGAAAAAATTTCAATATTGTTATAACAATTAATACAGCCGTACAAACAGATTTACATTTTTCATACAGCAACTCAAAATGTCTATCACAGTTTTCGGATTACTTTATAAAAATAAGCAGTTGTAATTCATACTAAAAATATGAATATATTTGTTCATATCCTATATGAGTTTTATCTTCCATTTATTCATACTTTCTTAAAAATAAATTCAACTGACAATTTTGCATCCTGTTTGCCACCTCATTTCAAATGCTCAATTCAATTTTGAAAAGCACACAACAATGTATTATAGCAATTCTTTCAGTAAACAAGTTTTACCGGCTAGTACACAGGCATCGGAAAACCACGTGTTGTGATATGTAGCACAGTGCAGCAGATAGTGTGCCTGCAGGAAGCCATTAATAGAGCAAAACACAATCCCTGACAGCATGATGTTAAGCGGATACGGCCGCCCTTTGGTCAGCAGGGAGTAGATGCAGCTCCTGCAAACCAGAGTGTTGATACATATCAAATACCATCTTTTGGTCATCTGCCCACAGTACATTACACTTCCACTGTTATTATGTCTTTGTAATTCAACACCTGTTCCCAAACCTGTCGTGTTTTGTCCAGATTATGCTTCCGTTGAATTATTCAAACATTTCTCACTTTATTCATCTGCTTCTGTTTTGGCCCAGTTATGTGTAATTACTCAAATGAAACATGAATACATTTCTGCTGTTACGTTTGTGCAGCCTTGATTAATTGTCAGCACAGCAGGATTGTCTAAAGAAGAAAAAGAACATTCCACCCAGTTCTCTTTTGTCTTCAGATTAAGGGTATTTTTTCCTCATTTGTTCTGGGTGAGCTAGATTACACATCAGGTTTGTGAAATGGCGTAACTGAAGTAAATGGAAGCAAAAAGGCTGTGACCGCATGCCAGTGTCATTGTACAGCTGCTATGATCCATTTTCTCTGGCCTATCTGCATTTTATACTACTGATCTTTCATCTTTCAAGATGTTAAATTACTATTTCAAGATGTTAAATTACCTAGTAATTTAACATCTTGAAAGATGTTAGTGACATTTTGAATTCTTCTTCAGCCCCACCAATGATCTCCCACGTTTTCCCATCGTTCACATGACTTACCTTTGGAAGTAGTGCAGGCAGAAGGTCCAGAGCATCAGGTGTCTCCCGGTGCCATTGTTTCCATCCGTGGTTAGCATCAAAAGCAGGGGAACCAGCAGAGCAGGAAGCTCCTGGAGGAACCAGGCTAGCCTTGCGGGCACCATCATGGAGCTGCCCGAGGTGTCCACGTAGCGGCCGTAGGCAGCATGAGACTTCATGAGACATATAAAGTGCATCACCCCACCCAGGATCATCGCCAAGCTCAGGCCCCACACGAGGAGCTCCTGGCACTGCATGGAGGTTGACGTTCTGTCCGGTTCCAGACCAGGTTTGAGTCTAATGCTGTATCTCCCCTCTCAACCCCTCACCAGAATTCTGCAAACACAGCGCCTCAGAGCAGCTCCTCCCCAAAAGCAGAGGGAGAGCCGAATCCTGACCATGCTACAGCATGCACCCTGCTGAAATGTGAGAATGCCTTTTTCAAAGAGATTTCCCTTTTAACATATTGAGAGAGATTTTTTTCCACTAATGCACTGGTGGGGAGCATCAGCATTCATGTGACAAATTGGTGGGTAGCATCAGCTTTCATGTGACAAACACAAGCTTGTCTGTTGTTTGTGCATCTCGGTGAGTCCTGGCTGTTTTTGCCACCAGAAAGAAGAAGCATGTTGATATTTACCTGCCACACGCCTGGTTCTGTGAATTTATGTTCGGAAAGATGAACAGAGAAATTAGTTTCTCAGTATGTTAAAAGAGCAATAATCCAGTCTGTCTTTCTTTCATCAACCTGTTTACACAAATCGAAGCATGAAAAAACTCATTCTTTTGAGTATCATCATATTTCCAGAAGGCAAATGGGCGTTTTTTTGGGCTTGTTTTGGCATATATATATATATATATATATATATATATATTGATACTTTTCAAAAGGAAATCTCCTCTCAGAATGTAAAAATAAAAAGATGCTTCAGGCAACATTTGGGTTTCCTTACATTTCCACACTGGCAGAACCATTTGGGGAACCTTTAGGCAAGGTTCCTCAAATGTCCACTAAAGTAACTTCACAGTTAAATACTTGTAATTATAATATTATTTAATATTAATATTGATACAACCGTACTTAAATATTCTGAAGATTATTTAAATATTTTTTTTAAATATTTAATCATTAAAAACATACTTTTTATGTGTACTTATGTGTTCTGTCTAGTGAGTTTCTCAGAGAAAGACCCTTTTTGAAAGAGGTTCAACAGGAGGTTTCTTCAGTGTAATGATAATGAACCCCCAAAATCTTTTATTTTTACAGTGAAAAGTCAGGTTTATTTCCCTAAACACTTTGGCATAATCATTAGACAAGTTCAGACAATTTACACACTGCGGAACAAGTATTACCAGATCATACATCCCTAAGGGTTATCGATGAATTCAGCTGACTTTCAGAAAAGCATGTGTCTACCTCTATAGCTTGCAACAGGCTGTTTCCTGTAATTAATGGAGCACCCGCTGAGAATTCTGATGAATGCAGTGCATAGAGAACTACATCAAACAGCAGGAAGTATTTCCCCTTGCACCATTTATTCATATTACCAATAACCTTTCAGTGTTTATGTCCCCGGTAAAAAGCAGTCACTCAATGAAAGTCACTTAAAACAACAGGGTGCTCAAGAAATCCAAGTCTTCAAATTATGTTTCCAAGGAAACGCTTAAAATAATAAAATTTTACAGCCTGACTACTGATAAATTGAGCTATAAAAATAACCCTCTAGTATTATTTTAATTTAAAAAATCAACAGTGAACATTAAGCTACTTAATTTTGATTGACGTTGACTTCTAAAAGCATATTTCCCTGCTCTGCAGAAATTGAAACCAAGTTGCCAATAAACAATTAGACCAGTATTTGAATTTCAAAACAGATTAACCCAATTAACAAGTTTTCCATTTTGTTTGAGAACATGTAAGATGGAGACTAACACTGAAGTCATTTCTGGAGATGAAACTTGCGGTCACCGCAGCTGACACCTGTGTCCAAACGAAACCACCAAATCTTCTCTTCACTCTGTGTTCAGTGCAACCTGAAATGGCTCATGAGATTTGAAATGTCAATGCTGCTAAACTTAAGAACAGATTGATGAAGTGATATTTGCTGAGCTGGACCTATTAATGAGAACCACCGTCTCTTGTTCCCTGTCTTTAAAAAACGTGAATATGTTTAAGTTCTAATACAATTCTAGTCACAAATTAAATGTCAAAGAATGGTCAAAGAAAAGGAAAAATAATTAGAATTCAAACTTTAAACTAATAGAAAAAGTGAAAAACACAGCACATCAGAATAGCTGTTTGCCCTGTAGAGCTTTTACTTCTAACACCTGAAAAAAATGAATGGCAGATAAAACAAGTTTTAATTTCCTCAGCCCCTGCTTCAGTCAAAATCTACATCCTCAGTTACTAAAAATAAGGAGCCTGGGATTGTTTTATGACCTTTGATATCTAAAACAGTCAACGGCTATCTAAAGAAATAAACCAAGAATAAACAGGAAGTTCTCATCCCGCAGGAATTTTGCTGCATAGCACACAAAATTAAAAGGTAAACTGGTCTGCCATGCAGATGCACTGCATCCTCTTCCCATTTAGAATACATGCACGATAATGTGATGATTGCATGAGGCTGGCAAAGCAGTGCGTGACAGGTGTTTTCAATATAAAAGTACAAAGCAATTCAGGAAAAGCATTTCATGTGTCCGCTTTTATTAATTTAAGCCTTCACACTGCCATTCAAAAGTTTGGGGGTGGTAAGAATTTAATTTAATTTTTTTATGTTTTTGAAAGAAGTCTCTAATGCTCACCAAGGCTGCATTTTACAAGTTAATACAATTAAAAGCGGTAATATTGTGAAATATTATTACAATTTCAAATAACGGTTTTCTATTTTAATATATATATAATGTACTTTATTCATGTGATGGCAAAGCTGAATTTTCAGCATCATTACTCCAGTCTTCAGTGTCACATGATCCCTCAGAAATCATTCTAATATGCGGATTTGCTGCTCAAGAAACAATTAATATTATTATCAGTGTTGAAAACAGTTGTGCTGCTAAATATTTCTGTACAAACTGTGACAATTTATTTCAGGATTCTTTCAAAAGTTCAAAAGAACATACATTTTTTTTAATCCATTTTAACTTTATAAATGTCTTTACTGTTGCTTTTGATCAATTGAATTGTTTTTTTTTTAAGTCATTATGTTCTACAATTACTTGTCAAGACTACTTAAGAATGATTACATTTGCAGATATGTAGGCAAAAAAAAAAAGTAATACAAAATTCCAATTGTAGCCATAGTATCTGTTAATATCCTCACGACTAATATGAAACACGTTGATTGCTTTTGCTGCTCACAAATCCTTTCAACTTACACATTTAGTTCATTTCACTTACTGCAGAATTGGAATGTGGTTTAAACTCACACATCCATGATTCTACTATCCTTCATTTAGAAAGGAATGGCAGAAAGACTATATCTTAAGCACATGACTCGTGTTTTAATATATGGCATCTTAAATGAATCTTGACCAACTCTGACTCCAATAACTCACAAACTGCTCGTAATCATGTCACACAGAAAGGAATAGCAAACAATAAGACAAGTAAAAGAAACACCACAGCATAGTAACTTTTGTCATTACACTTTATTGTTTCTTTGCAACATCAGCCATGACCCTTGTCATATCTGGCGAGAATTCTGTAATGCTTCAATGTACCCTGAGATTCAAAAATGACTCCACTGAGGAGCGCTTCAATTAATTTCCACATAGGTTTGACAATGTGAGAACTGTTCATTTTTACGCAATAATAGTTAGAATAATAATAAACAGTGCTAACATAAAAAAAAATTTGAAACAATCCTAACAGTACAAGAGCAGGTGTTGTGCTGGGTGAAGCCGATGAATCTTTTCCCCTACTTTGAAAACAGTAAGAACTAATTCAACTGATTCAAGACAGACAATCAAGTCCTTTTAGTGGGTAAATGAAGGGTGGAAAGCACAGGACCAAAAAGAAAAAGAAAAGAAAAAAACATGTTTAACACTGACCCAAGGCACATCTGCATGGTATGACATGCTTTGTCTGTTTTCTGTTTGAGGATCTGGTTTGAGACATTCAAACCTTGATGGGGATGTAGAGGAGCCTTGCCGTTTTCCTTCCAATGGTCACCCAGGAAAAATCTTGCTGCGTTGTGCTCTTTGGGAGGCCTGGAGTAGATGGAATAAAGAGGAAAGCCAGACAAAATGCCTACGCTGTTCAGAAAATCCACCTCTGGCGGTTCCTTGATACGGGTGTGTATAAATAACTACTACTCGGATGTTAAACATGGCTGCTAACTTGCATTTGAAAATAAAATTGTTTCAGAATAACCAAAATAAATTGAAGGTTGATGGGACAAAACGGCCATTTTGAGGCAGTCTGAAAGGGGTCCACCTGTACTGCACTTCCTGTAGACTTCAAACACTACTATATGCTTCCACAGAGTTTGAGATAATACGTCAAATGCATCGTAAAACCAGAAAGCTAAATAATGGTAATCACAAAGAGAAAATAAACAACAGAATATAAGTATCAGAAGGAAAAAAAACCTTTAATTTGACTACAATAAAAGATTAGATGAAAGAAAAACTATTTTTGGTATATCCAGAACAGTGGAGGGTTAGTGGGTATTGTGTAGCCCTTTAAAAACTACAACAGGACCAACGCGGTAGCTATTACTACAATTGTCAGGGTGTACATGGACATAGCATGTTGCAGTCTGTCAACTTCCTTTTTCTCATTATTTATCAATAGGTGAGACATTATGTAGATTACATATGCAGACTTGCAAAAAGAGTGCAATGTCAATGGTTTTATTTCTTTTATTTAAACTTTAAATGTGTCTTGCTTTTAAATTACACAAGGGCTCTTCAGATACCTAACATCCTTGGAGGGTCAAAAGCAGATTTTGCCTCATTCAAGACCCCCCCAACCAAAAACACAATCAAAAATCTGACCTTGCAACACCCAAAAAACTGCGACTGTACTTCAAGCTATAGCCTCATCCAAGTTGCCTCACGTGGAAAAGGGGGTACAGGGAAAGCTGTAGGAAGAGGAGGTTAGTATCTAACGTTAAATCTGGATTCGGGGTATGTATGAAGATTCCCAGCTGCGACAAACTTTGTATGTCCTTCCTATAGAAGAGGCGGGGGAGGATGGGGATACGTGGTCAGGAACGGGACAGGTGGGAGGGGCTGGGGTCTTCTAGGAGGCTCCGTGGCTCCTGGGAAAGTTCACCTCAATGAACGACGAGAGCTCCAGCAGCGTAACTCACAGAGCTGTCCGACCAGTTTCGGCACTGGCTCGACTGCGCGTAGTTTAGGGAAGAGAAGTTCATGTCTATGCCGTTCTTTTTCAGTTCCGCCACGGCCCGATGGAGTGAAGAGAATCAATGGAGAGTCAACACTAAAGAGATGCTTTTAGACTTACAACGGTCATTAATAAAAGCTCTGCGACAGTTAAGTGCTAGGCTAATTACCATGCTTACGGACTGTCCATTATTTGCATTACTTTGCTTTTGCTTTATTGAGTCAACAGCAGTTTGCTAAATAAAATGTCCTGGGGGAAATTCATATAGTCGTTCATATGAATCATTCATTAGGTACTTACATTTAGAAGAACGCCGATGGGATGGCGACCACAAATAGTATTATGATATTTCTTCAAATAATTGCTAAAGGAGATGGGGTCCAACTGTTCTATAATTCCCATTCCCTAAAAAAAAAAAAAAAAAGGAAATTAACATGCATACATTTCACTGACATCAACAAAACTCTCATTACTGGCATTAATAATGTTGTAATTTTTATTTTAGTTTTATTTATGACTCTCTAATGTTGGATTTGACATTTGGTGTAGTTCAAACACGGTCCTTGTCCAGTAAATTACCATACAGAGGCAAAAGTACTTTGCCCAGTTGGTAAGCCTTTAATGAGGTTTGGGTTGCTAAGAACATCTGCTATGTGACAGACTGTCATGGGTGGAATGTATTAAAGTCAGTCTTTGAATCACCGACTACCACAGTAACCATAACAATGACTCTTTAGCTTGGAGAAAAATTCCTCACCTTTTTTTTCTAGAACCTCCAATAGAATTAGCACATTGTGTATCCCAAACCAGAATGGGCCACTTGCATGTAAGCCTCATATGTCAGACATTACGTGAGTTACCAGGAGCAAAGGGGAATAGAAACAGGTTTACCATTTTGTCAAGGTGCTCGATAGATCTGTAGATCTCTCCTTGACTTTCATCGTAGTAGGTGTAACGGAAGCGTTGACCTGTAGAATATATGAAAAAGTTCAAATTAAACATTTCACTAGAGGCGGCACCAAAAAAAAACTTCATTAGGGATATTTGTATGGGTTCCAACTTCCTACCTATTTAAAGCATTCCAAAACACTCACTTAATAGGTTTAACTTTAATTAGGATGCTGCCATAGAAGTCTATGCTGCCTATGTAGGCAGAAGGCAGCTTTTGTTTCTGGCAAGTCACATTGAAGGAGAGCATGAGAGTGGAGAGAATGTCTGTGATGCCGACATGATGTGGATGAGAAATGAAAGCATGTGTATCTTCTTTACCAGATTCATGCTGCTTTTGTTATCATTAGTTTGAGCAACATTTGATTTAGGGTGGTTAACAAGAATTTTGCCTTCCCCAATTTTTTTTATAATACCAAACCAATGTCACGCCTTTACACTCTGATTACTGGACATTTTGTATATATATATATATATATGTGCATGTGTGTATGTGTGAATATATATAGTATGCATAAATATGCATGTACGGTTATGTATATATATTTCAACAAACAGGAAATTCATCATCTGACATTCATCTGACTATAATTGATATTAACTATTTTCTGGTTTTTGACAGTTGAAAAATTAAAAGTGTGTGAGTGGACACAAACCCCAGTGGCAGAAGTCAGAGGAGATGATGAAAAGATTAGAAGGATCAGCCAGGTATTTGCTAAGCAGCTTGCCATATTCCTGCTCTTTAGATTCACTCAGAGCTCCCACCAGCACAGGGACGATGCTGAACTCATCTTTATGGCTGTTTTTGAAAACAAAGCACAGAACAGAATCATTTGTCAAGTCCCAGATGGAGATTTGATATTTGCATCTTTATAAATATTCTTTTGTCAATGAGTTTTGCATCACTTATTAAAATCCATGGCCATGTCAAATCAACAGCTCTGTAAAGGATTTCAATTTCCCAAATTGCTGAGATGTGAGAATAAAATGTGGTGCAAAAAAAAAAGGCTAAAAACCTTTAGAAATATTACAGTTGCGCAGCAACTAATTGCTCTGCTTGGGAAAAAAATAATACCCAAATGTCTAATCAAACAAATTGAGGGGATGTTAATGTCCTATGCCCATATACTGAAATGTTTTAATGGAATAATAGAATAATAGAAGTGGTTGGTGGCTCCTGCATTAATGTAAAAAATAAAAAAAACACACACAACACCACAACAATAACAAAACAACAACAACAGAACATCCATCACGGCAAACTAATTAGAGGCACCACACTAGGTAAACAGATCCTGACAACATAATTAGTGGATCTGGCAGAGATTAATGAGCATGAGAGTGTGACTATGGGTCAATAATGCTGTTCATGGCCTCTATATAGAGATGAGGTGAAACCTTGATATATCCTTCTTCCTTCTCTTTACATTTAAATTTTTTTCCCTGGGCAGATTCTGTCCTACACAAGGACGTGTATGTCTTATAGAGAGACTACAGCAGGTAGCCACATAAGATAATCAGAGGAAACCACAAAGGGCTATAGCATATCATATGTTGTTATGCCATAATGCAACACTGACACAAGGTTAAAAAGCAAAAGGTGAGACTTTGCATGTAACACCTATGATGATGTTATATATGTACATTTGTCAAGTACCACTAATACTCTTGGTTCCTTCAGAGAAAAGGTCTGTAAGATTTTATGATTTTGAAAGAAGTCTTATGCTCACCAAGGTTACATTCACTTAAAAAGAGTAAATAAAAAAATTAAGTAATACTAACAGAAAATTACATTAAACAGTAAATTAAATTAAAATTAAACAGTAATACTGTGAAATATTATTAAAATTAAGAATAACTGCATTATATTTAAGTACATTTTAAAATCTATTTTATTCCTGTGATGACAAAGCAGAATTTTTAGCAGCCATTACTCCAGTCTTTAGTGTCACATGATCCTTCAGAAATAATGCTAATATGCTGATTTAGATTTAGTGCTCAAATTTGTCAGAATAATCAGTATTGAAAACGGTATTAACATGGTGTTGGATTTTTCAGGATTCTTTGATGAATAGGAAGTAAAAAAAAAAAAAAGCATTTATTTGAAATATATATTTTTGTAACAATGTAAAATTCTTTACTGTCACATTTAACAATTTAAGTATTAAATTCTAAGTGTTAACTTATTTCAAAAAAATATATATAATAAAATATATATATATATATATATATATATATA